CATAAATTGATTCAAGTAGCATCGATGGAATTAGAAATGATTAACGTGCGCGCACACACGCACACTCAAAAGCTTAATATATGATATATGGAATTTGTGAAATAATTATTCATTCTTGTATTTCATTAACTTGTTTGAATTTTAAGGTTTAAATATTCTCTTTAAGAAAACATTGAATAACTTATATCGAGTTGAGCATATGCGTTTAGTTTTTATGTTGAGTCTTTATTTTCCTTATTCAAGGTTGAACAAAATTTCAAGTTTGGAATTGTTTGAAAAACGCATTTTTGCACTTATTCGTGCCATTAATATAAGGCATATGTGAGTGCTTTCATTGTTTAGATTCTTAATTTTATATATTTTACTATTAATTTGGGAGAAATCTGGTATTAGACGAGAAATGATGAAAATGAATGAATTTTGATAATAAAAAAGGATTGAAATGGGACAAATTATGGATTTCGGGGACAAATGTACCAAATTTGGAAGTTGAAGGTCTTAAAATGAAATATTGGGGTTGAACAAGAAATTGAATTGGAGGATCAAAATGGAAAGATATTGACCATTGCGATCGCAAGAGTCTATTCTAGAGTGACTGCGCGACTGCAAATTTCAATCCCAGTAGCTACACATGGAAGCCTATGCGGTCGCAAGCCATTCTATGCTATGATTGCGTGGCTATTTCGGGATCCATAAATCTAGTTTCGTAATTTGACTAAAACGTCGATTTTAACATTATGGGCATAATTTTAAACCTAATTAGAGGACTATAAATATATAGTTTTTATTCATTCTTTTCATGGGAAGACACATTCATGAGAGCAAATACATAATTACATCCATAGATTCTCAAAATTTGTGGTTAGAATTTGAGATTTTGAAGGCGGAATATCATCAATTTGTTGGGAGATTTACAATAATCAAAGGAGCTGAAGAAACATTGTTGGATGTTGCGAAGAAAAATTATAGCTTGGATTTCTTTTCTCTTTGTTCCATATCTTTTATTTGTAGAATTCCTCAATTATGAGCAGTCGCTAATTTACAACCTGTTTGAGCCCCACCGTTATGATGAAAATACATTTTGAAATAATATTTTGATGGAGAATGTGTGGTTAAAAAGTAAGGAAATTTTTTGAATTTGAGTATAATATTATTTTATTGAAAAATGAGTGGTTGAAAATAAGAAAGAGAAAAATATATTTGAAAATAATTGGGATCAAACATGGGCTTAATTGTTAGGATGAAACATGTAGTTAATGTAAATTTAACTCAAAGATATCATGCCAATTTTATGTGTGCTAATTACTTATTGTGTGCACGATGAATTTAGGGACAATATTGATACTGATGTGATATATTTGTCTAACTCGTACAATAAGTGACATGTATGATAAGAGATCGAGAGATTCTCTTATATGTTATGCAACCTTGATTGGATTTTTGTGAAATAATGTATTTATATGTGTTGGAATTTAAATAGGATATAGTAAATCTAAGCATGTAAATATAAATAGTTTTACTCGAGAGAGAATAGTTAAACTTGGTTAATTTGATTGTTAACACGCGTGAAAAGGGGGCTAGATGATATTGAATTAAGTGAATGTAATTGACTTAGGTGAAATCGAAATTCATACCTACATAATCCCATAAATTATTTCATGAAGTCTCACACGTGAATTGTGTTATATAAAGTTAGTAGAATTTTAGTTTTGATCTTTATATCACATTAGTTGAATTTGAAGCTAGGTTTAAGAAAAAAATCGAATGCAAAAAATTTCTCTGTAACAGAATGATATTTGGACTTTAATTCACTTTATTACTTGTACGATATTGTACACTTACCATTTATATGAACAATAAGTAATTTTTTAAAATTGTAATATACTCTATCTATCAGTCATTTACATTAATTACGTATACACAAATACTAGCAATTGGAAGTACTGTTGTTGATTTGCTTAACAATGAATAAGGACAAGTAAAGAAACTATTGATCATGAGAAAGTCCAGTCTCAAATTCAAATACTGTGTATCATAGTATGGTTGATCATTCACCTTTTCATGAGTACGGCCAAGCATTTTACGCATTTATTTTTGGCGCTTGTTTAAAAAAGAATTCTTTTGAAAATTGATTCTTTAAAAATCATGTATATTTTTTTGAATGTGTAGTTAAAAGTTAAAAGTTAAAAAAAAAAAAAACTATGAAAAAACATAAAACATTGATTTTTTTTTTTAATCTACCGTTAAAAATAAGTGTGTGAGAAGAGTGATTATCATTTAAAAAAAAGAATTTAAATTTCTTTTAAGTCAACAAAAGCAATCAATCTCTGTCAAATTTCGGTGCCTCTTTCTTGGTGCAGCATAAGATTCTTTAGAAATTTGGCACCCACTCCCTTCCAAATTTCTTTTTATGTACTTTCCAAATTCACTTTTTGACACTTTTTTTCTGGCATAAAACGTGCATTAATCATTACATCTTTTTTCTCTTTCGTGATCTTTCCCATTTACCATTTCACTCAGAAAACTAGTCACTACCAGTTCCAAATTCTAGCAAGTTCAGTAAACCATATTCAAGTTATAATTAGAAGTAACTAACAAGAGAAGTTTCAGATGGGCTCTGGAGATAATGTCTTTACTGTTCTGGCAAAAAATATTGATGTTCTTGCAATGTACTTATATATACAATAGGATTTCTTGCAGTGTTTTGTTTTTACTTTCTAAATAAATTTGAGTTCATTTGAGTTTGTTTTAGTTCTGACTCAGATTCCTTTTTCATTTATCAGGCCTGTGGTTTCTCTTGTATATCCTCTGTAAGTCACATCTCTTACTTATTTTCACCGGTCATTATATTCTTAAATGAAAAAATGAAAAAAGGAAAAAAAAAAATCTCAATCACTTTCAGAAATTTGATTTCCAGAGAAGTTTTGGCTACATTTGTCTTCACAGAGAATATTTGCGTTGAATCTTCCAGTAGATAGGTTTATTGACATCACGTTTTAGTTGTCTTTATAGACCAAATATGCCAAAAAAAGTATATTAGGTATGCTAACATAAACCAAAAGAACATGCTAATATATGTTTATTTATTTGTACTATATTTCATTAATGAGTGGGGAAAAATAGTTTGGATAATTCCTATTTTTGGATGTTTTACAGCTATTGTTCCGTCAAGGCTATAGAAACGAAATCTCGAGCAGATGATCAACAGTGGCTAACATATTGGGTCCTTTATTCTTTGATCACCCTCTTCGAGCTTACATTTTCCAAAGTTCTTGAATGGTAAGCACTTTTCATACATGATTCGTGCAGTCGAGTTATTTTTCGATTACAAGAACGTGTGCATTTGTTGAATCAGGTTTCCCATATGGTCTTATGCTAAGTTGATTGGTGTGTGCTGGTTGGTGCTGCCTTATTTCAATGGAGCTGCATATGTTTATGAGCATTTCATAAGGCCTTTCTACAGAAACCCACAAGTTAAAATGTGGTATATCCCTAGAAAAAAGGATATATTCAGTAAGCAAGATGATATTCTAACTGCTGCAGAAAAATATATTGAAGAGAATGGACCTGAGGCATTTGAAAGGCTTATAGCCAGGGTAAGCCAGCCATTATATATCTAAAGCAAATTGATTGAAATTTAATGAATACTTATGTGATTTTAATTGTGTGCAGTCTGATAGAGAAGCAAGAGCTAGGAGGGGCAACTACACAGTGTTTCAAGATGGTTATGGATATTATTAACCTGCTACTGAACATCTTGTAAATTTGCTGCAAGGGTATTGTGTGCTTCTCAGCATTCTCATTTTTGCTGATGTTTGAAGGGTAGCTGAAGAGGAGTATTTTTAACCTTAACCTGCTAGTACTGGTTATGTATCTTGTCTTCATAAGTTTGAACCTTAATTTACATCTTTGGTTCTTATATATCTATGGTTTTTTGATGGTGTCTTATGAGGATTTGCTACTTTTCGGCATAATTTTTTTTTCCGTTTTCTGAGTTAACGGCAAGTTTAGTACGTTAAACGCAAGAAGATTAGATGAGATTCGAGAAATAGTGACATCTCACAAAGTAGGGTAGTTGTTTGGTTCAGTTATGTTCAGTTCTATGTATTGTTAATGACATGTTTGGTATGTTGGATTGTTCACGAAAAAAGAAAAAGAAATAGTTGCAAAATTTTTTGATCTTACCATGCTCTAAATTGTTAATGTGTTGTTACTTCCATGAATGGTTTCGTTGCTACATTAAAAGCACTACTAGAGAAAAACTTCGTAGAAAAATATAACAATAATCAACAAAAACTTGGAAGAAAATTATAATTTCAGCCTTTAAATAGCCCAGTTAAAAAGATCAGCCCTCAATTGGGCTCATCTTGATTGGGCATAGCAGAAGGTATTATGTGGGCCATGGATTATCTCAGTTGAAGACCAAAATGTGGGCCAGAAAGAATTCGAAAGTTCATGGCTTGAATTACTAACTACCCAATAAGTGTTTGTGCAATAAAACTTTGTTAAGATTTTATCAAGATCAAACTTAATGTTAACCATATTTCATGGAATTTTATTTTTTGTTAATTTTTCAACCACGCATTTCACAAAATTTTGTCAAAATATGCTAAATTTTTGTATAAAAAATTATATCACAATGTCTCAATTATTTAATTACATCTAATTGACATTTTTTCAAAAATCACTCTCTTTTCAATCCTATACTAGTGTGGATCGTGCGTTGCACGATAAGCGTTATAATTTTTGTAATTCCAGAATTGAACAATGGTAAAAATAACATTAAATTATTTCAAGTAATGTTCAGACACCTTTAAATTACACCAATTGAAATGTCACTCTAACTAAAAAAAGGGAGAAAATGAAAATTAATGCATTAGAGCTTGCTTACATACTCTGTTGTTATGTATTAGCTGCAACAGTTTTAACTTACCAATATTTTGCAGAGCATGTGTTTATATATGATATTTGATAAAGTTACGAGATTTTAGCGAAGTCACAAAATATGGAGGTTGCTGTACAATTATTTGATGGCTCTCCATCAGCAGCAGTATTACACATGCACACGTACCAAATCAATTTCTAACAACAATTTAGGATGAGTTGATCCCACATAGAAAAGAACCAAGATTTACTGGTTTGAGTAAAATATATGCTTAAATAGACGGTCACAACAATGAAGTTATACCTCAACATTTTCTCCTAAATTATATTGATGACAGAGTTGAATCTTGTAAAATGAAGATTACAGATGCTTGAATTGCAGGAAGAAAAAAAAAATTGCTTATACTTAAGAGTAACCTGATTTCTGCACCGAATCAAAGTTCTACAACTTATGTAATTAACAAACCTGCACTGCACTGCACTGGTGGCCACAGCAAGATCCTCCCTTGCTTTGGTTCCTGAATTACTCTGCAAATTATGGCAATTGAGTAGTTCAAACAGTTCATTTCAAATTATGCTCTTTGATTGGAAAGAGTTCGTTAATTTGGCCAAGACAGTGACTGCACCCATCAACATTAAGCAATCATATATTGTTGCCAAAAAGATTCTGCTCAACCAATCATCCCACAGACACAAAATTCAATATGCGCACACTTAGAAACCACGGTGTTAAGGAATTTCCAAAAGGGATGCATGTTACCCAAGACTTTAATAGACTATTTTATTGAACCACTGCTATGCTTCCGTTCGCTGTTTTTATCATGGATTTAACATATTGATATATCAGTGAAAACTCTTGTATTCAATTTGCCTCTATTGTTGTTTCTTCCTTTTCAATAGAAAAGGGAGAAGGAAGAAACATGTGAAGTGTTTCAATTATATNTATTCAATTTGCCTCTATTGTTGCTTCTTCCTTTTCAATAGAAAAGGGAGAAGGAAGAAACATGTGAAGTGTTTCAATTATATGTGAAAGACTGCCATCTTTGTCTCCAAGTAAATGATATTATGCTATCAGAGACAGAAAAAAATGCCAACCTGTTGGCGAACGGCTGCTAAACTCTCAGCATCCACTCGACGAATTTCACTATGTATTTTCTGCATAAGTGGCTCAACACCAGATAAAGATGCCTCTGCAAAGTAATCAGTCACCACATTCTCAATAAAATAAGAAAAATTACATGTATTAGAACACCATCAATGGGTCGGATAAAACTATTTGTTTTTTTTTTTTCCCCTTTCTTTTTGGAGAATTTATTTGAAACACCTTAACTACCATGCATTTTTTTGTAAAATATTAGCCTTACATGCAGGCATCCTCCATATTCCGCATTGTTTATATATAAATTTGAATCAATGTTACAACTCAACAAGTCCAGCTCTGAACTATAATTTTCTATTAAGTAGAAACAAATAAACATCAAACGAAACAAAAAGAGGGCTACTTCGACATGGAGAATGAATGACACACGTAATAGTAACCCAGAAAGGTACAAAATAAAGAGAATTCAGTCATACATTACTTCACTTTATTTACAAAATATGAAGATAGACATCCCAGTTCACAACAGATGCAGCTGGAGAATTAGTTAGAGAACCATTATAAATAGACCAAAAATAGAGATGAAAGTAAGCAGAATTTGGTAGTATCTGGGGAGAGAATTGGACCTCTCGAATGTCCAAATATCCTTTAATTTCATTGT